GGCTCGCAGAATTCTCCAGCGGCGATAAGCTGTTAGCTCCCGTCTGGTCACACGACATGTGTGCTAGAGAAGATACCGAGAGCTACGACGTTGTACATAGGTTACTGCGAAAGGGGAAACGAAGGAACGCAGCAAAGAGGGGTGACAATAGAAGAGGGAGCTAGGCGATGGAGAAGCGGTCGCGGCGCCGGGGGCGGGAGCGGGGGCGGGGGCGGGCAGCCACCGTGACGACGGCTTTTTGTGCGGCGCGGCGCGGCGGGAGAGGAATGGAAATTGCACCTGCTCCTGAAAACAAGCCGCCACGGAGCGCTCCTCCGGTCCAAAGAGGGCGCCCATCCATACACCGCTCCACGGGGTCATACTCCACACTAGAACATCGCCTCTTCTTTGTTTCCGGCCACGTCAACAACTACGATAATTAACCCCTATAACGGTAGTTCCTGGTATATTCCGGAAGGTAGAAATGCTTTCCCCGCCGGGACGTAATATCCGGCGCCGACCAAAACATCGGTTCGCGGGGGAATTCCCCCTCCAGATTCCTCCCCGACAGTGGGATCGCCCCAGTCGGGACATCTGGTCTCCCGACACATATGTACAAGTATATGTGTGTGCGTGTGTGTGTGTGTGTCAGGGGAGAGGACGAGTCAAAGATAAGGAAGGAAACATCACGTGCTGTTCGTGGCCCGATTGCTAAGGTTCAGCACCGGCATTCGTTTGACATTCATCTGAATGACCCCGGAAATCTTCCGATTAGAGCAGCTGGTCGCTAGAATTCTCCTCCAGACAGCGGCTGAATTCGATCTAGCTCTCCAGCCAGTGTTGAAAAGCCGCTATCGTCGGGACCTCCCTTAATGACGTTGCAGAGACACTGGCACTGCTGTCTTTGAGCGATCCTAACCCATAATGTTGATGCTTCTTCTTCTTTATTTATTTTTTATTCTATTTAGTACCACAATCACATTTAACTTGTGATTATCGAAAGTTATCCATTGGGAAAAGCAAATCGTCAATTATAAGTTGCAAAAGTTGTATAAATTAGATCAGTTTTGAAAGAAAAAAAACTTGAAAATGGATTCATATCATTCAGTGTAGCGTGTGAAAGTTAGTTCTGCGGCTTAAGACGGAAGAGAATGATGTGCCAGAAGACAACATTAATGTAAATTCCGAGCTTTTGCGAAATTGTTTTCTAGATAAGGATCTGATTAGTTTTTCAAAAAAAAGAACAAGAGCAAGAAGAACCAGACTAAGATGAAGATAAGACAGCTATGAGGCGCAACAAAAGGTTCCATGAACGTCGGTAACTATATTTTCATGACTAGTGTGTTATTTCGAGAAGTAAATCTAAAAGTCACCATCTTGTTCTGCACTTCTACAGTTTTCTAAAGTTGAGAAAAATATTTACGGACGCAAGCTAATTTGTTGGGAACAACTGTACATTTACGACCGACTCCAAAATATTTGAGAGTTGTTCACGGTATTCTCACGTCCCTTCATGCTTAAAATATGCTGCGAGCAATAAACAGCTACCGGCCAGGAACGTTAGCAACAAACCACCGAAGGTAGTTTCCTTGCGTGAAACGCTCTACTCGTTTCTTCCTTTTGTGCAACATTAAAGTGATTTATATCTTGGTAAAATAAATTCACAGTTGCCAGTTGTCCTCGGTCATTCCAAAACGATTTCTCCCAGTTTTACGATGTACGTGAAGACTCGAACATAAACTCTGCATTTTAATGCAACGATCCACCGAAAAGGAAATCGAATGAGCTTTTGAAATTAAGCACCGGTTTAGGTGAACTTGTCCACTACCATGGAATTGAATGAATACAAAATGCACTATTTAACGACTAAAGATCACGCGCGTCTAACATCACTGAAGACATCTCAGCCTTGGCCCCTTCGCAAACACTGTTTAAAAGTAACGTGTGCAATATCCCTTATCACACGCACACCGTGTTAAAAAAAAATTTTCGTCGCATGTGAGTCCACAACATTTACAACCTCTGTTGGCAAAACTCTGTTACGCACATGTTCATGCTCCCTTCAAGGTTTCTGTGAAGCGATCGCATTCAAGGAATGATTTAATGCGACTTTGATTTGAGAATAAATGTTTGGGAATCGTTGGAATTAATTTGGAAATAAATTCGTGAAACGACATATCAGTCACCAATAAATAATCCTCCTCTTGTCTTCTTGATTCTCTCTCGTTTTAGATTACGTGACTTTCGCATTATGTTAATTGAAGATACTTATTATGGAACATTCACTTACGATTTTTTTAAACGAAACGAGGGAACGAGAAAATCTTTTCCTCGTTGTATTCTCTTGAAATTCAAAATTTGTATACTGTAATGATTTCAAAGACATGAATTATTTTAGGTACTAATTATGTCAATTGTTTCACAATTTTAAGAGGACGTACTGAACAGCGGCATAGCGATATCCAATGACACACGTGACGGGTATGCATAGTGTTCTCATCCAACCCTTCCATCCTGGTTTACCTATTAGTCCCCGCAACAGTATGATAGATAAAACTGGAGGATTTCACGGTATTTCATTTTAAAAGAATCAATTTTTTCTCGCCCGACCAACCCAAATATTACTCGGTGATTGATAGGGTGGAGAGCAGAGGCTATGACAACAGGCTAATCGCTTCCGTACGTAGATAAAACAGAAGAGTTATACGGTATTTGGCACGTACCACCAAAAAAATTAATAATTATTTTTTCACCAATTCTAACCGAGTAAAACGTATGGATGCGGGGGGGGGGGGTGTATGAACTGGAAACAGAGGATACGGGAAGGAGGCCGGCAAAATGCCTAATCTCGCTGTCCCAGCTTCCATGCTTTAGGATAAAGCGACAATTTTTACGATTTTGGAACTTATTTTTGGCATAAAACAGCGTGCGTATCCTCGCATGCAGCATAAATGCAGCATAAACGCACCTTACTCAGTGCAAAAAGTGCGTAATGCGAAAATATATCCAATGTGAACATAAGCCGCGGTCTTGGCAATCGTATTATTAAATTGAATAATGAGGAATCTTGTCTAACGCGAAAAAAATACTGGCCATAAGAGATTCCTCATTGAACAGTTTTTCTCTAATTTTTGGCACGGCACTAACAGAGGGGTGTGAAGCACGTTAGAACACAAAAGCTTCTAATTTTCCCGACTTATGCGTGAGACCCACCAAGCTACTCTTTTGGACTGAAACTAATAGATTTCCTCTACTCTACGGAGGGTCAAAGACAAATAATTAAAAAAGATTTATGTGATAAATTTGTTGTAGTCACGTTACATTAGAAAATGTATGTGAAGGGTGTTTTCAGATAAAGAGCAACACAACAGATGCGACAAGAACAACGGAAAGAAGGTGACGATTAAATCGCTAATTGCGACGAAACAGGCGAAGGAAGGGTGAAGCAGAGCCGGTAAGAGAAACTTGTATCATAAAGGAAGTAAGTACTTATTTGTCTTCCGGAGATCATGAAGTACATCTTTCCTCTATGGTCGAATGCCCGTTCAAATCGAGAGGCTGTAGCTGAAGCAGAACGTACAGAAACGCAGTTAGGAAAAGGATATAATAGGACGGTGGTCGTCAAGCAGAAAACAAAATCACGCGAAGTGAAAGACCAGAAATTGTCGCCGCCGACCAGAAAACAAGAAGAGGAAATGGAGGTAAGAAAGGAGACCAAATCTGATGAGTACGAAAAGATAAGAATGCGGAAAGTGAGATAACAAAAGAGAAGGAAAACGAGAGGACGTAGGAGAGAAGAAAGATACGGGAGAGGCGAGAAAATCAGATGGAATACGTGGAAGACAAAGGCGGACGAAGAAAGAATAAATTGAAAGTGGAGCGACGAAAGCAGCCGCGGGGAAAGAGAAGCAGACGGAAAAGGCAAGAGGCAGGCGCGCAGTGCGAGTCTGCGGTGATCCGGCCAGCGATCCCTTCCCCGTGGGCGCTACCCTCATACCGCCTCGGAGATGAAGCGTGGAGCGTCCACGTCCCGCGGCGCAAAAGCGGCGGCGGCGGCGGCGCGATTGGCGTGCGTCCATCGGCGCCAGAGGCTGCGCCGGCCCCATCTCCGCCTCCGCCTCCGCCCGCGCGCGGGAGCTAACGGGACCCCGAGGCGTGGCGGGGGCGGGGGCGGGCGCGGGGGTGCCCTCGCGTCGCAACTTTATGCGCGCCCCGGACGCGGGGAAGCCCGTGACCCCACTGCCAACAGCCCCGGCCTTTGTCATGCGGCGCCATGGCTCCTCCCGCGCGCTGACATGATGCTACTGTCACGACGCGACGCGACGCGACATCGCGCCGCTCTCGCAGCCAGCGGCCTTGGACGCTGCCCGTTAGCCTCATCCTCATCTCCCACATCATCGGCCCCCACGGCTCCACATACAAATACCTACGTGTAGGATTCGGAGGGGGGGGCGACCCTCCCCCCACTTCGATGGGAACGGCGATTTGGATTCGGTTTACTAATACCAGCGAAAGTAGGAGTCTCTTAAGCAGGCATGAGATTTTTTTTTACTTTTCCATCATTTCTACAGCGAATTTAAACACCGTGCCAAGAAAATTAACTCAACCCATTGATTCTTTCTTTCTCCTGGGAAGGGCATCGGGTAGTAACGACAGTAATGCGCGCTGAATTCGCGTCCTCGGGAATATCACTTGCCAAAAACACAGAATCTTCGCCACTGCAGTATTTCATGTAATATACATATCAAGGAGGAAAATTAATATCGTAGAAATGTGTTGTTTTTTGTTGTTGTTGATTTAATTACGGAAGAACGCAGATTAAAGAAAAAGACGTGGAATTTGAAGCAAATCGCGACTTCCTTTGTACTACAAGCAAATCCAAAAAACAATGTTCAGTTATAGAAATATCTTATCTTCATCTTGTGTTGGTTCAGTGTCTCGCTTACTTCAATTTCCTTTCCTAATTATTTAAGAAATAATAAAAACATGATTCTTAAAATGTTTTCTCTTTCAATAAGTACTCCAAAAATATTTTTACGTTCATAATATGTGAGTTTAATAGCTTGTGTATTACGTTTATATCGAAGAATTCTCATATAAGGGTAATTTTCTAACCTTGTTTCGGAAATAAATTAGCGTGATTATTTATCTTTTATTCACGTTGCAACGATTACAGCACGACAAATCTTTGCTCAGAAGTGTCGTGCACTCCTCTACGACCTTCGTGGCACCCGCGTTGAATTTTACATAAGATAAAATTCGTTTTCCTTGAAAGAACACCCGTCGCCACCTGGGACGTTCTTAGAAGATGACCGAAGGGGGGTTTCCATCGGGTTGGAGGAGGGGAGCCGACATCCCTTCGACGGAGGCGTGTAACGGAAACACTGGCAGTATCCGTTTGCAATCTAATGAAGGGAGATCGTTGCTCGCGGGCCCTCTCCCCTAGCCCCGCGCTCGCAGCGCAGCTCCCCGCCCCGCCCCGTCCCACCCCACCCGCGCAGCGCAGCGCCGCACCGCGCCGGCCGCGTGCATCCGCTCACGAGCGCTGTGCGGGGCGGGGCGGGGCGGGGCGGGGCGGGGAAGGGAAGGGAAGGGAGGGCGGGAGTTGATCGGCATTCGCCGCACGCGTGCGGTTCCGCTCCGCGCATCAGCGTGCGCGCGCGCCCGCGCAGTGCGGCCCCGCGCCTCCGCCCGGCCCTTGGTCCTTCTTGTCCCTCGTCGCACCTCTCGGACGGCTCAGACTGGGGACGGACCTCCGGCCGAACGACTGGCCCCTTGAGGAGTTCGCTGGCACATCTTGCTTCGATTACATTCACTTTGTTTTTACTTTAAGTTATTAGCGGACGAAGACTAGAAATTAAATTAATAATTAATTAAGCAGAAGCTAACCATCGTAAATGGTCAATGATGGTACACATTTCCAAGCAATTGAAATGTTTTAATTCCATTGTGAAACATGATGAAAATAAACATTATTATTATTATTATTATTATTATTATTATTATTATTATTATTAGTGTTGTGTTTAGTAGTGTCCCAGGGAGGTGACCTGTAAACTAAACTCCATTTGCGGTGTCGAAGCGCACACAAACGATATACAAAATGAACATTCCTCGATTTTGAAATAAGTTTAGATCAAATCGATATGTCAAAAAGCATGGAGCTGTACTCCATAGAGAGAGTAGCTACTTTTAGATAGATTATAGCTACTATTCAGTTTAGTTTGTTTTAATTCGTTATTTACGTAAATGTTCACTGTCTAGTTTCTTAATCCGCAATGCAATAAAGCAAGACTACGCACAGAACGACGGAGAAGGGAAGAAATCAAAAAGGTTCCATACTGACTATTAACCACCTTGCGTGTCTCTGTGTGTGTGTGTGTGTGTGTGTGTGTGAATTTATTGATTCTAGGCGCGTCAAGGTGATTAGTAGCGAAAGTGTAGAGCGTGACCTATCTCAGTAGGCGGTCATGTTCCTCCCTTGCTAGAATGTGAGCTCCATCGCCGAGCCTGGGACAGTTTTTTTTTTCTCACTTCAGGTGGCTTCACCAGGGGACAAACTCTTATCTCCGGACCTATCTACCGATGTCAGTGGTGATGTGGTGCATGGAAGCGTAAGACGTTGTGAATGTGTCTGGGTTTATAAGGAGAGAGAAAGCGACAAGGATAAGGAAGGAAAGATCACACAGGCATATGATCCTTTCTGTTAAGTATTTCTCTGGCTTTCGCCAAGTACACACGGGGGAAAAACACGTAAAAATACCGACCAGATGGATTTTTCCTTGGGTATTTATGGGTGAAAAAATTCTTCGTGAGACTTCCTTCGGGAGGGAAGTAAATCCGACTGTCCCATGTAGTCGATTTACTGCACATAAGATATCTTCAAGCCTAAATGAAGCCTCTGAACAAAATTTTAATCGCCAGTTCCGTCTCCCACGTGATCCCATCTTTCTGTGCTAAATGCTGAAAGGAGCGTAGCAAAACTTGCGTGATCAGACGGAATAGCAGGGATGATGGCCTGAGTCTCGCCACGTAAAACACAGCGTCATTGAATATGAATTGGGCAGGTGCCGCCATCATGCGCGGAGTGCGAGTAACGCGCTCATCCCGCCCCGCGTTGTCCGTTGCCTGACAGGCGGTGCGGTGGGCGCCGGCCCCCTCGCAAACGGTCCCGGCTGCTACCTGCGGCGGCGCTCACCTGCCCCCCGCCCCCCCGCGAACGTACTCACATGGAGCTAACATATACATGCGCGCTCCCCGCGCAACGGTCGAGTGCGGGGGAAGGGGAAAAACGGTTGCCTCCCCCCCCCGCTTATTACGGCAGAGCATGTACACGAGGGATGACATCCAGGTCATTTCTGATTCCTTAGTTGCCTTCCAGAAGCTCGGGGCACGAGTCGCAAAAGGCAAAGAATCCAAAATGTAGCGGGCGGAACCAGATGGTGAAGATGTCCGCGAAGGCGTTATCACAGGGGTAAGCACGTAACTAATTACATTTAACAACTTATTCCCTTTCAGTTTCAGTTGGATCCGCTCATGTATTTATTTTCGCTTCTCCGGCTACACATGTAATTTATATAGTGTTAATTCAAAATTATATTCTTATTTACTACAACAATCATTTAATATAAATTCAACATATATTTTTAATGATATATACTCAAATTTAATCGTGCATAGCTCTACTTTCATTCATCTTTCTCCATGTAAAACACTCTTGACAGAAGTGTAAGAAAACAATATCTCCGAAGATAATGTGATTGGGAAAATAATCTAACACTAATAAATTTCAGTTCCTGACCTCTTAATCCTCTTTGATGATAGTAGTTTTCTATTGCAATGGATGTAAATTGACATCTAAAATATACGAGTAACCACATACCATCTATTTTTACCCATCACTTGTAAAATACACAGTGGTGCTATATTCCTTTACTATGATTTTAGTGTTTCTTCAAGGCAATTTGATAACAAATACAAGTTCTACCATCACTGTTTTCGTCAGGGTATAGTTCAGAAAGTAATGAATATTAATTTTGAAAAAGAATGTACAACTAAATTATTTACATACTAAAGATATGGTACTGGTATTAATCACTTAATATTAAAATAATGTGTATATTTAATATAATTCAAGAACAACAAAACTTTGTTTATAGGAAAATTTACAAAATTATCACATAACTAAATTATTACATTTATTAATATTGTTACGACGAAGCCCCCGAATGAAAATGCTCGCTTAACAAATGGCGAGGTGTGTCGACGTACTGCAATATATTTTGTGTCGCGATATTCCGCCCGGCGGTGGCGGCAGGCAATGAGGGTCAGCAACGGGCGTGGGCGTGGTGGGGCGGAGAAGAGGCTGCAGTTGCGAGGAGACACAAGGGCGAGTCGGACACGGCTGAAGCGGGGATGAACGACGGGGAGCTGAGAGGGTGAGTGGAGGTGGAGGCAGGGGCGGTGTGGGGCGCAGACGGGGGAGGCGGTGAGGCGGGGAGCGTGCGCGGAGATGAGTCTGGCAGGGAAGAGGGCGGGGATGAGGGCGGAGACGAAGGTGGGGACGAGGGCGGGGATGAGGGCGGGAACGGGGCGCCCGCATGTGCCCGCCCAGTGCGTGCAGGTGATTCCATGCGTAGCTGCTCCGAGCAAGAGGCCCCGACGCCCCGTCCCCGCCGTGCAGAAGCGGAGGCGGCATACGGGCAGCGCGTCGAGCAGCGGACGTTCATGTCACCGACGGCGGAAATGCTCCTTTTTCTTCACGCCTCCAAACACACGCACTTGACTGTACACTCGATAAACGACAATGGGTCACTTCAGAATTTCTCACATTTCACACAAAGCACGTTTCGTTCAACCGCTAAAATATTCCATGTGTTAAAAATATTGTTATTTAAAAGTATCAACTGAATAAAGCTATAATTATGAAATTTTCATATGAATGAATATTTCGCGATCGACGAAAACACTTCGTTTCTTTTCGCGTCATTCTAGATGTATAACAATAATTTCCATTTTCGAATCGGTTCAGTTAATCTCTAAAGTACATTCACGGAATACTTGGTGAATATACTTATTGTTAGATATGCTACTGTAAATTATACGTGCTTGTAAAAAATCGCCTGCACAAGTACTCTCTAGTGAATTATTGACAACTAGGTTAGTACGAAAAAGGGGGCGGGTACAAAGAAGCAAAATATACAATACATTGGAATTCAATTTTTCAATTATCAAGTCTGAGCCACAATAAAAAATACTAGTACATTTTAGTCAACAGTACGTAAATAACACGATACATCGCCAAACCCTACATTTGAAAGGTTCGCTGCGTAAACAACTCAACATCGCTCCAGTTGACACAGACGAATAGCCCCCATCGTCCCTTTCCCCGTCAGAAACACGACAGCAATTTAAAAGCGCATTCATATCTCCGCTGAAAACGACACGAAACCCCACGAAACGCCTAGAAATTGGGGCGCCGCACACTCTACTCGGCTGAGCGAGTGAAAAAGAAACAGCGAGCCCAGCGCCACGGTGGCAGCCCCTCAATGCAGCCCCGCCGCCCCTGGCCCACCCTTGCCCCTCGGACCCGCCCCCAAACAGCCCCGCGCATGTAGCGGTCACTGAAACCCAAAATACGGCCCCAACCAGCCGGGCCCCCCGCAACAAAGCCCCT